GGCTTATGTTCTTTTCTAGGCATATGCCTTTTCTGGGCCTATGAATGTGCTTTCGTTCAATTCCCCCTGTATGCATAGCTACTTTTAAAGTCTTAATTTCTCTAAGGGCTTCATCCCTGCTTCTTCTCAGGGGCATAGATATTCTCTTGTATTCTTTAATCAGTAATCTGTTGTCCCAGACGTCTGCAAATCTATCATCCCCTTGAAATCTTTATGAGTCATGCCCTTTGCTTTCCGTAGCTTTTCCTAGCCTGAGATCCCAGCTGCCTGTGACAGTCTGAACTCTGAATTAGGTGACATAAAAACCTATCCCTCAGGAAGCCTGCAGACATCTTAGGAACATTGTAAATTTGGTTCCCTCTGCTCTCTCTGGTCCACAAAAGGGAACTGAAGATCAGACAGCTATTTCTCCTAAACTAAACCATGATGTTTTGGGGAAAGTGTGGGGCAAGGGAAATTAAATATACCACAACATTTGCTACAATTTTGAATACGGATTTTTCTTGCTTAAGGAGGTTGCATGGATGCTGTAGACCTTTCACTGATTTTCAGACTTTCTATAAAGTAATTTAAGTCAGTTTCTAGTTGTTAGAGAGGATGAGGGCCTGGAGCTTCCTTGTCCTTCATCTTGCTAACATCACTAGGAATGACTTTTTGACATAGTTTGAAGTCTATGGAAAAGCTTGTTTACCATAAAGTACTCCCCCATACTTTGGAATCCAGATTTCCTACCAGTGGAGTGATTCGTTTGGGTGAGCACAGTGATTTACATACAATGATCTTCAGATCCCGAGGGTTCTTTGCATTTTCACTGGACTATAATCTTTAAGGTTGAGTGTGGAGGGGGTAAATGTACCTCCTAACCCAACATCACACACACTAGCTTTGCTTTTAGTTTTTACATACTGAGTTTATTTATGAAATTTAATAGGGTCAAATAATTTCACAGCTCAATAAACTAGAAAAGCCCTTTGGTAAAAACATGATAATTTGAAAGCCTCTAAAAAATAAATGCTCTTTAACCCATGTAAGAAAAAGTATTAAACCATTTTTTTCATTATTATAGTAACTACATTTATCATCAGATAAGTTAACTCTTGCATAAAAGAGAACATAGGCCTTAGAGAATTGGACATAGAACAGAAGATCTGGAGACATACTTCTTTGCTGACTAGCACAAGTGGGATTATAATAGGGCATATATTTGGCTTCTAAAGACCTCAAAAAAGTATTAGGAAGAGTACCACATTAAAAATGTAGCAGATTTGCCTTACATGTAGCTTCACTTTGAAATATTCATTGCAGAAATAATTATAGCCTTTTGCCAGTAGATTATAGTACTTTAAAAGGGTGATGAGAAAAAAATGTCAGTCAAAATCCCAACAGGAACTACAGTCATTCCTCAACATCCTTGGGGGATTGGCTCCAGGAACCTCCACAAATATCACGATCTATAAATGCTCAAGTCCCTTACATAAAATGGTTTAGTATTTGAATATACCCTACACACACCTTCCCATATATTTTAAACCATCTCTATCTAGATTACTTATAATATCTTATACAACATGGAAATAGTTTTTTTATACTGTATTGCTTAGGAAATAATGACAAGAAAAAAGTCTGTAGATGTTCGCTACAGATGCAACCATCTATTTTTTTCCCAAATATTTTTGATCTGTGGTAGGTTAAACCTATGGATTCAAAATCTGCAGATACAAAAGGTCAAGTGTAATTGGTAAACTTAAAACAGAATAATTTGAGGAAGGTTCATTTTCAGAGTGGTTGCTAACACAAAGAGGAGCCACAAAGGATATTGCACTAATCTGAAGTTTGTGATAAGTGAGCTGTTACTTATCCTTAGGCAGGAAGGAATGAGTGGAGGGAGGGGACTTACCAAACACTTAAGAGAGTAGTCACAGAAAGTCCAGTGCCTTACAAAGAGCGGTGACCATTGGTAAAGGGTTACCCCTACTCACCTGGCAGGGAGAAAGCTGGGGAAATAACACCCTGACATGACTCTCTTTCCATTCGCCATCTGGTGGGGTGCCAACTGTTGAAACCCAGTAGCAAACCAGAAAGCCCAGGAAGCCTATAGTGGTAGCCGAGGAAGGTGGCTTCCTGGGGCAGACAGCAGGTTGAATAATGGAGGTGGAGGCAGAAACAGCAGACATCTTATGCAGAAAATAAATAGTATTATTTCCAAGTGCTGAAATGTGACCATTTCATCTTTCTCTCTCTCCCTAACTGCCTATCCCCCCCCCCCGCCGCCACCACTACCACCAAGGATATGAATAATAATGATAATAATAATAAATCATTGGAAAAAATCACAAGAAAATATTTACACAAGCAGTGAGTTTATAAATAGAAAATTGATAACAACAAGAATTTTAAAAGAGACTATATATCATCCATGTTATTTGTTCCTTGGAGACTTTGTTGGCAAAAATACATGGACTGAATAAACTGTGAGTGTGAGCCAGTGTGACAAATCCTGTCTTCTTAGGGACTAATCGATGGGCAGGTTGACAACTCTATACTATATAGACACTAATGTTGATAAGTTTAGTGAAAAATCTGTTCTTCCTGTCAGTTACCTGAATAAGTGTGGGAAATAAGCATTGTGCATTGTTTCTCTCTGAACACTTATCCTATGAAAACCTGAAAAGAAATGATAAAATTTTAAGTGCCCTTAGAAGATATTTTTGTTAGAATTATGACTAGAAATATGCCTGGGAGACAAGTCTACCAGTTTCTAACTGGTAAATTTGCAGCCAGCAGCACAGAAAGAGAATGGCAATGGAGAGTAGGAATGGGGATGGTCTATAAATCCTTTTGTCTTTCTGGTCCCCACAGCCTTAAGCTGAGCTCTGTCTAAGGCTGTGGTGACTGATATGTGGTACAGGGAAATCTGAGTCAGCTGTGGCACCTTAATCCCATTTTTCATACAAAGCTATATTTAGTAATCTGGAACGTTTGTGTCTGGATAGAAATTCTTAAGTGGTGTTGATGTTTACCATCTGGATAACTTTGGAAAAGTTAATTAACTTACTTTTGCCTCAATTTCCTTTCAATGAAATGAAGATGCTAGTACCACAAACCTGATGGGGGTTTTGTCATAATTTAAAAAGGTCATGTATGTAAATGCACATACATAGGACTCAGTAGATATTTATCTATCATGAAAAAGTAGTAGTATTACTTGGCCAGGTTACTCCTCTGGAAAAAGAGAATAGAGGGTTCCAACATATTTAGAAACAGCTAACCACTGTTAGTGACACTATGCCTTCTTTAGATTTACTCTCACCACTCTAAGAGACCACCAAAACAAACTGGATCAAATAACCTAAGTTAATCAGACTCCACAGCAGTTGGGCAGAGTACCAACTGGACAGAGTCTTAAAACTGTCTTAGAACAGAAAGTCCAAGGGAGAATGTGTATAAGGTTTGAAGATCTGGGATCAAGTGATCTAAAGCAAACCTTTCCAGGCAACGAATAAATTAGGAATGGGTAAAGTTCGTTGCTAAAGATCTCATGCTGAAAAAACTAAGGAAATTTGGATTATGTCAGTTCTTTTTTACTACACATATTAAATAATTACCATGATATTTCAAGGTAATAAGCACAGTGCATCTCACATTTTAAGTTTTCTATTCTTAATTAATAGAAGATACTAAAAAATAAGTAGTGAGGCCAAATGAGGACAACTCCCTAGGCAAAGTTTGTACTAGTACAACATGCAACTGAATCAACTGAATGGGTATTTTAGCCATAGACCAGATGACTGATTCCATGATGGGAGAATGAGGATTAAATGTGAATTTAATAATGGCCTTTGAGTTTATTTTGAGGGAAAATATAAATTGTTATAATTTTCCATTGAAACGCACTTCTTATATTTTCCTATATAATATAAAAACTGCAAAACATGACATTGAATGATATAAAAAGATCATCATCTTCTAATAGTGTTGAAAACAAGATAAAAACAGAAGTTTAAACTTACAGTTACTAGGATCTAGAAACATGAACGATTGCATAGCTGTTATTACTGCCAATTTATTTTGTCAGGCTTTATTTCATTATACAAGAATATATAAACCAAAATTCTCACTTAATTTTTAATAAGTATGCTTTTTTTGAAATGTGGTATAACCTTACTTAGATTGTCTTGTATGCATGCCATTCCACAGACACGCACATTAATTCCTGCTGAGAATATGTTTCTCTGATACCTAGATCGTCTTCTCAAAACTGGATACAATTCAGATATCATGGGAATTAATTTCTACAACTGATCTTGGCACTTCCATTCAAGCAGTGTGTCATTATCCAATATTTAAATTTTTGTTATTAAAGCTTGAGGTAACTATTTGAAGTGAAATTTTTTTTATATTTCTCACCAAATATTTGATGTCGTCGCTAAAATGTCTGGTAACAAAAAGAATGTCTACATTGAAGAACACACACTGAATAAATATGAAACAGGCATGGTGATTGTTTTTTGCTCTCAATTAGAGTAATGATCAGTCAGAAAGGAAGGAAAGAGCCCTTAAATTAAGCCTTCAAAATATGTTTTGTCAAAATTTATTCCCCCCAATCGGGAGTTTTCTGTTTTTCTTTTACACCTATGAGAGTGCTAAATCGGCTTGGGAACAAAAGTATACCAGTTACACCAGGAAAGTATTTTTTAGGAGTTATGAAAATCAAAGAAAAATGCCCAGACTATAACTCTTGTAAATGTACATATGTAAATACACAGGCAGCTTCAAAGCTAATACTACTCAAGCTCTAATTAGCTTTCCCAGTTCTTACCATTCTTGGGTCCACATTTCTAAAATCACTGATTTTCATTGCCAATCATAATTTCATTTTGGAAGGCAATAGGACTTCAGTTGACCAATGACTTCGGTCAGACTTTAACAAGCCTTGCGACTTTATGCATATAATTTATGTCCCAAGCACTCAGATTTAGATAAAGACAGATAAATAAACTTTGTGTTGAGTTTATTTTGGTATTGACCTGAGATAACTTTACAGCAGGTAAAAAATAAAATAAAAAAGGAACCACCTATGTTTGGGGTTTTAAGGTTCTGTGAGTTCATCCCTTTATAAATTGGATATCCCAGGACTTTGAGATGACAGCATGTTAGCATTAAAGATTCCTCAGTCATGAGATGAGTATGCCCTTTGTTTAAATTTAAATACTCCTGAAATAAATAACATGTTAGGTACATCAATTCCTTTGTATACACGTACATCAAGAGTAGACTGGAAATGAATGAGGGGTATTGGACCGGCACAGCTCTGCGGGCTCGAGTGCCATGCTAGGGTTCACCAGGAGCATCAGGAAGGCATTTTGTACCTTTGAGTGGATGTTGGAGAGGGAAGAAGTAAGCTGGCTGCATAAAAGGAAAGTGGTGGGATCGGAGACTTATTTTCCCTACTGACTTTCATGTGATTTTCAGGTGACAAAGCAATCACTTGAAATTGAATCAATTTACTTCTCACTAATACCATATCTATGTGAGGAAAAAAAACCTGTTAAGCCAAGTTGAAAATTGAAAATAGAGCACTCCATCAACTGCATATCTAATTTTATGATGTCAAAGTGGTTTTACCAATAAGTTTCTCTGAGTTTACTAAATTGAGCAACTTGTTTGGCATCAGATGAACTATGTTGGAAAATGAAAACATGAAATTGATTGTATACCTCTGTGAGTGAGCAGGAAGAGGGTGACTGGTGAAGAAGATGGTCATCTGAGTAAGTCACCCCAGATGAGACACTGCACCAATTTATTCACCTCATTTACTACACAGCAATTCCCTGTTTTCTTGTTGCAGCAGCCCTGCTTCTTGCCTAGAAGGAACCAAAGTTTCCAACAGCTGGGAATCCATTTCCACTTCATCAGGGACAAACTCAAAAACACATTTCTACTTTGACTGTCCAGGCTTCCTTTCAAAAAGTTGAGTCTGTAACAGGGTAGAAAAACATAATCCAATGAACATTGTCTCATTTCTAATTTGAAATACTAAAATCTATTCAGGACTAAATGACATAGAGGAAACATCAAAATAATCTTATTAATTCAGAAACCCACGTTCCTTCCATTTGATGACTATGCCATTCCCCAGGCCTACAGAATTCTTTGCCAAGTTCTCAGAAGCTGACCAGCAGATGGAGGAAGAAAAAAAATCATGCACAGAAAGATTTTATGGACTAAGCACATACTCTTCCATGACTCAGTCACATGACCCAACCTAACTGGCTATAACTCAGTCACATGACCCAACCTAACTGGCCACAGGGAGGATGGGAGTTATAGTCTAGCTGTTCATCCAGAAAGAAAAATAAAGTGCTTTGGTAAATATGTGGCAAGTCTCTGCCAAAAAGTATATATCGTTAGCTACAACACAGTTTTTCCTCCTCTGAGACATACATATTTAATAACTTTGTATAAAATAATCTTAATTTCTAGGATAAAAGACATGCTTGCAGTCAAATCCAAGTACTAAAAATGTTCCACCCTCAGCTATACTGTATAATCATAGCTGTTTTAAATGTTTCCCACCCCTGCTCACCTCTTTTAATGCTGACTATACTTAGAATATGAAGGATATATTTAATATAAGGACATCTGGCCCTTTTTAATATCTAAATTATCAAAATTTTATGCATCCACGTCATACCCTTGTGTGTTTACTTTGAAACAGGTTCAAGTAAAGTTCACTTGAACAGAAAGCCATAATGACTTCATACATTAATTAGCCTAGTCTAATGGTGACAGCATTAAATGAATCAGTACTCCTGCTTTTCATCCCTTTCTGGACCAGCTTGGCCACTGTCTTGCTGGAATTATTTTTGAAAGCTTAGGACTTTCAAAAATTTAGGATCCTCTCCAGCTGTCAGGCAGAGAGGATCCTAAATTATAACAAGTCTTTACAATTCTCTAGGGTCTGGGGTGTGACAAACTCCAATGGGCTAAAGCTCTGCAGTGACGCTAGAGGGTAGCAGAGTGGAAGCATGAAATGTTACCCTGGGAGCTGATGCTTCCAAAGCCCTAAACTCATACCTATAAAGTGGTGTTCCAACCCTTCAATCATCTGATTCAAGAGGCTTGGTGTTGGTGCTCAGGCATCTGCATCTTTAATGCTCCATAGTCAGTTGCAATTGTTCCACCAGTAGGAAGAACCAAGGATCTACGTGTGCTCTAAAATGCAGTGTGTGCATGCATTAGTGCAGAAGGTCACCCACTAGACCAGAACAAGGGAAGAAAATATTGGAACAACTATGCATATTTAATTCTTATGTAAAAATAAGAATGAAATTAAGCTCGGCTGCTATTTAATATACAGCTTAATGCTGCCAGTCTCCCCCAGTCCCCTGCAACATAAGGGAGAGAATTAGCCAGAGGGAAAAGTGGGAGTCTGATAGCTTAGAGGAGACCCAATTAAGTGAATTATGCTATGTGATTTTAATTAAAGAAATTCCTATAAAAATTAGAAAAGGTCTTTCAGAGATTCTCCCAAGAACCTAGGAATTAAACATAAATTCACACTTATAAACACAAGTGATCAACCAGAAAATGACAGAGATGATTCCTGTTTTTGTCAGACAGAACTGGGGGTTTGGGGGAAGTAATGATCTAATCAGCAGATAATATTATAATATGTTAACCAGCATATGTTTGGGAGGAAAAGGCTCTTTTTTTTAATCTCTTTGTTGTAAAGAAGATATTTTTTAAATGATTGAAGGAGTAATTAATTGCACAAAAAAATTGTGCTAGAAATTTGGAAAGAGCATTTGAAAATAGATGTTTGGAAAAGTTTCCACTACTACCTGCTTTTGATGCAGAAAGCAATTATTGTGTGCAGTGAATAAAAACTCAGAGAAGAATTACTTGGTGTAATTTTATGTGTCAATTTGACTGTGTTAAAGGAATGCCTAGATAACTGGTAAAACATTATTTCTAGATGTGTTGTAAAGGTGCTTCTGGAAGAGATTAGCATTTGAGGCAGTAGATTCAGTAAAGAAGAACCTTCCTAACCAATGTGGGGAAGCATCAGAACATGGTCCAATCCACTGAGGGTCCAGATAAAAAATAAATAGAGTGTAGGAAGGGCAAATTCTCTCTCCTTGAATTCTGTCTCTCTCTCTCCTTGAACTTGGACATCCATCTCTCCTGCCCTTGGACATCAAAACTCCTGGTACTCAGGCCTTCAGACTCTGAATGAATGACACTACCACTTTCCTGGTTCTCAGCTTGCAGACAGCAGATGGTGGGCCTTCTCGGCACCCACAATCTTGTGAGCCAGTTTCCATAATAAATCTTTTTTATATACTCTGGCCCACACTATCCATGGGTTTCATATCCATGGGTTCAACCAATTGTGGATCAAATATATTTGGAAAGAAAGGATGATTGTGTCTGTACTAAAAATGTGTCATTTTTTTTTCTTGTCATTATTCTCTAAACCTGCAGTCCCCAACCCCTGGGATGCAGACCACCACCAGTCTGCAGCCTGTTAGGGACTGGGGGCAGAGCTCCACAGCCCCCCATCCCACATCCGTGGAAAAATTGTCTTCCATGAAACTTGGGGGGGTGCACAGCAAAAAGTGAGCTTCCCCATGAGTGAGGGAATCTTCCTTTGTATTTACAGCTGCTCCCCATCACTCGCATCACTGCCTGAGCTCCGTGTCCCACACCACCCCCATCACTTCCCAGTCCATGGAAAACTTGTCTTCCATGAAACTGGTCCCTGGTGCCAAAAGGGTTGGTGGCCACTGCTCTAAACAATACCGCCTAACAACTATTTACATAGCATTTATGTCATATTATATTTTATAAGTATTCTAGAGATGATTTAAATGTAGAGAGTGTGAGTAGATTACATGCAAAAACTAGGCCATTTTATATCAGGGTTTTGAGCATCCACAGACCTGGGTACCCATGGGGTTCCTGGAACCATCTCCTGTGGAAACCAAGGGATAACTGTATATCTATATATATCCTATGGGTTCTGTTTCTCGAGGGAACATTGACTAATACACTTGGATGTAAAAGTTTCTAATTCACTTAAAAGTTTTCCAAATGAATTTCAGCAGATTTTGAAACCGTTAATGAAATTGTAAAAATCCAATTATTATGTAAATCACCAATTGACCTTGAGAGCTATATAGATGTGCTAATAAAATCACCAAACAAATCCTTTATTTAATTTGTGTCAGAGACTTAAGAAAAAGTTTCCTGGGTAGCCAATGATACACATGTTTTATTTAGATTTGAATACATTTGTGGGAATATTCCTCAGCTATGATAGCTTGTAGAAATAACTGTCACAAAAAGTTACATAGATGTTAAGGGTAAAAATAATCTTGATTCACATTTAAGCACATTCCATCCCTCTCAAAAATAATAGTCTCTGTGGATTCATTTTTATTTTTTGGTGACTACAAATAACTAAAATTTAAAATTGCTTTTTATATTATTTCCTTCTTATACTTATTTTAGTTTCTAGTTTCACTTAAAATTTACACAGCTATTGGAATAGAAATACATATGAATTAGAGAAAATACATGTATTTATTATAGGAACATACTCAGTGGGTACATGCTCAAGTACAGTTTACTGACATGTGAGAATAACCAAAATCCTGGAGATGTAACACTGAGACTATAAAGAAGTGTGTTCCAGCTTACACAGTAAATGAGCTTACAATAAGTTAAATATCATTAACTTCTGTATTTCAGTCTTACTCCCCCCAAATCTTGCTTCAACTGCTTCTATCTTGCCAATTTACCTGATTTGCTTTATGGAGATAGTAAAATAACATACAAAAGGGATCCCTGTAATGACTCCATGCAACCCATTGGTCCTCTCAAGAAATCCTAAACAAGTTCCATAAAAATCAAGTATGATGATTAAATCACATGTGCTATAACAGATATTTTTAACATATTTATGAGTTGTGATCCTCTCAATTCCCAAATTTAAGCCTGCATTCACAATGTAAAAGCAAGACTGCTGTATTATGAATGACAATAATGAAGTTCACAGAATAAAAATAACCTCATTCTCTGTCTAGGAACGCTATAGCTATAATAACTTGAGCCCTGAACTTAGACTCAAAAACACTACATTTTATAATAATTCTATTTATTATCATCTAACTGTAGACAAACCATTCACCCTCTCTGCTTCAGTTTCTTCACAAGCAAATTGAAGATATCTGCTCTGACAATCACAACGTGTTGTTGAGAAGATCCAATAATATACACATGTTCCATATAAACTATAATAATAATTTATTGATAAAAGAAAGTATTCTTATTTTATCACATGGCCCATGTACAGAGCTCAGTCATGAGATAGTAGAAATATAAAGAATAGAAAAATATATAAATAATAACGATATAAAAATTATAATGCTCAATGAAAAAGGCATAGTTTAGATAGGCAGATGGTTTATGATGGATTAAATTCCAGTCACATACAAGCTTATGAAATATGTATGCTGCATTAGTAGTTCAATTAACATTTTTTATTGGAATCTGAGATGACACTGACATTTACAAGTAATCAGGTGATTTATTATATAATCACCCACCTAGAAGATCAATAAGAATTCAAAACAGATGTACACAAAACAGATGTACACATCGGCTGTTCTTTTTGAAATAGATTGCTGCCCTAGGTTGTAATCATTATTTAACTATGTGACTTGTGAAACAAATCACAAAGGTATTTCTCTGAAATACTTAGCTTCATAATAGATAATAATTTCCCTGAATTTTGCATTTTTACAGATATTCATCTCCTGGAATCCCAGCGAGTTTTGCAGAATTCAGTTGAGCCTATGTGTCATGTGACTCACCACCTGTAGTAAATAGCAATATAATTCATATTCAGTTCATAAATCTGATTCTTTTGTCTGATTATTTATAACACTGAAGGGCTTCTATTGGACAACT